CAAAACACTGTAATATTTCTGGGCAACAAAGACTGCAAACTGCAGAAGCAGAGACTGATGACGGAACTGTTTTGGCTTGTAGCAAACATCATGGTTCACATTCCTGGAGAGAATGACAGTTTAGGGGGGTCCAAAATTCACTGGGCGTGAGCTCAGCTCGACCGTCATAATTAGGGCTGTCAGACTTATTTGATGAAACTTGATTACTCGATTAAATAATAAAATACTTTAAAAAGAAAACGTTAAAAATGAACCGAATCAACCATGATTAGTTAATTAGGTAATTTAGGTGATGATAATGCAAACTTTATATATACAGGTATTATAGGAAGAAACAGAGCCTAACAAATACATTTCTCTGTACTTTTTTTATATAATGCCATATTCATAAAACACACCACCAGATTTAACATGACGTTAAGAGCAAACAATGTTGTGGTAACATTTGTCCTCATTCAAAAACAAGGATCACAGGCCTGTTTTACTATTTACATGATATGTGATGCCACATTAAAGTGTTTTTATCACAGTTAATAACCCCTTAAATGGTCAGGGCCCACCGGCAGGCCTGAGGTTTTATTACAGAATTCTATAACCTAAGAATCGCTCAGCCAGCTTGAATTGAAGTCCCTGTAGTTCCTGAATAATTAGCCTTAGTATGTACTAAGGCTGGGATTTTAAGCAGGTTAGAGTTGTTGTTGCATGATACAAAACAGTAATAAAACATTACTGCATGAAGAATAAAAGGGATTTATTAACATGGCACATTAAAATGGTCGCTAAAGCACAGTAAGCAGCTCCCCTACTTTTCATATTGATGATAGGGGTTCGATTCCCCGCTCAGGCAGGCACACTATGCTATATGCCTGGGGTGCACAACTCCAGTCCCCACAGTTAGCTAGTTCCCTCATTCAAACACATCCACTGGACAATAAAAAGTTGCAAAGATTTTTTTTTTAAAGAAAAAGAGAATGAAGCAAGAAGCAATTTTGCTGCAGTAACTCTGATTCCGAGTTGTTGTATGGCACCCAAACAAAACGACATGTTGTATTAACATGTATTACCTCATTATATACCGATGTTGATTGGCTTTTATTGAGAATACATGTAATAACAATGTACCATTAAGAAGAGACTGACACACTAATCACCACTAGACTGACTTTATGAATAAGACTTTATTAACATTACCACACATTTGACATAGAATAGTGTGGTTACCACCGGGTTTTGAGGTTGTAGTCTTTTTTAAAGGCTTTCGTTTGGAATCTTTGGATGGCTTTGTTTCCACAAGACATGAGTCCATTTTTATTGTAGATTATAAGGAAAGAATATTGACCGCTTGTCCTAGTAGTTTGTGTAGTTGTAGTAAGTGCAGCACATCATTCCATTCCACACAAATTCAAAAACAAATCGGAAGAGTGGTAGAAGGTACAAAAAGCATTATTGTTGCCAGAAAATTCTCAGTACTCACCAGTAAAAATCTTTCTCGGAATTCGGCTTCATGAGGGTGAGTAAAGCATGCTGGCCTTTCTGCACAAATATCCTTTTCCCGTGGACGCTTGGACTGCTTTATCGTGGGAGAAAGTATTCACTGACATATTCACTGAGTGTTGTTCCACCGTCTTCTTGTTGTCCTTGTGTTGTTTGAACAGACAGCCTGCATGTGAATATACATGTTCTGTTTGTGTTTGTTGGTGAGAGTGTTTGTGTGACCCTTTGAGCAGATGGCGAGAACCAGTAAGACCCAGAGCATTGCATGTTCATGTGTACATAGTTGTGCCAAATATAAGGCTTCCTAAACAGCTCTTGGTTTGGATATCTTGGCTTGGTTACGGGTAATTTGTAAATGATGATGTACTGGAACGCTGAGTAGTGATGGATCCAGCCATAAAAAGGTGCATGAGGCATACAAATCAGTGCGAGCTTTCCCATTAACGTTGGAGCTTACAACTAACGTGTGTGTTAACGAGGCTCCTGGGCATCGAACGATCTCTCATACCGTTAATGAATCAATGTCATAAACCAGTGGTGTAGCTCAGTATTACTAAGCTCTTTTGAGGGAAGAACGATCACAGCAGTAGGGGGCGCATTTGCGAGTGATAAACAGCATCTGAGTTGCGTTTATGAATGTTTTTGTTACTGCGCACAACCAAAAAAAAGTTGAAAGTGCACATATGTGCAGCAGTAAGTGCAGCTTTTCCATATTTGGTTATATTTACAGAACTTGAAACTATTCGCAAAAGTCAGACCACCTTTCACGCATTTAATTTGTAGTCAAAATGACCTTTAAGTATAAGTTACTCATTTCAGGAGATATTTCTGAGCAAATTACGTATAAAGAAGTCACTTGCATAAGGAAGTGGAAATGCAAAAGGGAAAATAAGTAGAAAAAAATGTTCAAAAAATTATTAAAAGATATATAGAAACTGTTGTTTTGATGTTTGCCTGAGAGGTTTGCGATCATGTCCACCGAGATAGTGGCCAAGAGTGGCTTTCCAGCTGTGGCTCAGAGGCTTATTGGACTGGCTATTTGGGTAACACTACATCTCAGCTATTATGTTGCAGTGTGAGACATTCCCCCACTGCTAAGGACTCTTTCTGGGCAGCTAAGTGACTCTATACTGAAATTCCCTCCGCTAGCTGTGGGAACCGTGGAGGAACTTCTAGGACTGGACTTTGGATGTAAGAAAATATCCCTTCAGATTTCTTTGAAAAACTGAAAAGAAGGGAAGCTGTAAATTATATACCTTATTTAGAAAAGGTGGGAACAAGTCACTAAGTTGCAAGCAACAAGTAAGTCTCAAGTCTTGACAATCAAGTCCCAAGTCAAGATAGTCAAGTCTCGATTCAAGTTCCAACTCAGTGAAGGTGAGTCTCAGGTCGAGTCCCAAGTCAATAGTCCAAATCTTCGAGTCCTAAACAAGTCAGTACACATTCTTCACTAATTTAAAGCCAGAGCGCTGAATAAAGGTAACAGTAATACAGCCTTTTAACGACAGCATGTTAGCAGTGTGTGGCTGTAAATTAATTTTTTATTTTATTTTAAATAATTTTTATTTATATTTTATTAATTTCCTTCCAACAAAATCCATGGTAAACAGATAAACACACTCTTAAAAAGGATGGTGCTTCAAGGGTTTGAAAATAGTTCCAAAAACACTCGAAGAATCCTTTGCATGGTTAAAGTGCTCTTTGCATCATGAAAAGCTTCTTAAGAATGTGTTGTTTTTGAAAAGGGTTCTAAAGAGCATCCAAAGGGTTCTTCTATTGTTATGATGTCAAGTAACAATAGGTGAGCCCTTTTGGGTGCTCTATAGAACCCTTTTCAAAAAAGTTCTATACAGAACTATCTACAGAACGTTCTCCATTAATCTGAAGAACCATTTCATGATGCAAAGAACCCTTTAATAATGCAAAGTGCTCTTTGAATGTTCATGGTTCTTTTTATTTTCTTTACCAAAGAACCTTTGAGGAACTATCCTTTTTAGGATTGTGTGACAGACATACTGTGTACGCAAAGAGTTGTGGACTACACATGAAAAGAATTAGTACTATTGAACTTAATTTAAAAAAAAAGTTTTATATTTGAAGGTAATTTTTGATGATTTTGGGAACTCTGGACACACAGGATTAAAACTAGCTCAGCCAACTAAAAACATTGGCGTTTAAAAAGGCGTACGAGTCGAAGTCCGAGTCGATGGTGTTGGGTCAAAGTCAAGTTGAGTCTAAAGTCATCAAATTTGTGAGTCCAATCATACGACTCGAGTCCACCCCTCTGTTATTTAGCTGTTGAGGCTTCTGTGAAATATTTTGATTTTTGCTATCATTCTGTAATGCTTGCACACCTGTTGACAGGTGGTCTAAAAGAGCACATTTGTGGGGGGAGCATGGAGAGTTCCATGCCTTTTAATTGGCATAGAACCTACATAACGGGGAGGTTCTTTAAACTTTAAAACAGCTCTGAAAGGTTCTTAAGAAAACCAAAAGTGGCTCTTCTGTGGCACAGCTCCACAGAAGCCTTTTTGGCACCTTTATTTTTAAGAGTTTACGCTTTCTTCCAACTGAGACTCCCTAACTCCCTTGAAGCTCGCATCATTAGTGTTTTCTTCCCTCTGCGGGGAGCTGGGCTCTCGCCAGTGTGCCATCGCGGACTGTCAGCATTCACCATGATGCAGCAGAACGGCACCGTTCTCCTCACGGCACTCTTCTCACACCTCCTCAAATTGCTCCATGTGTGTGTATGTGTGTGGGAAGATTGTGTAGGTGGGTGTAATGACAAGCAGAGAAACAAAAGTGCTTGAAGTTTGCAGCGCACGCCGAAAGCAGCGCCGGCAACTCTTTGACTGGTGTCAATTAAGGCCAATAGTATATTCCACCCCTGCTTTTATGTAGAACTGTGTTTTATTGCAGGAAAGAGTAAAACAGCTGCGGATTTGTAGAAAGAGAGGAATATAGTGGCCCTGAAGTCAAATCAAACAGTCGAATCTCTTTTATATCCTTGCTGCGTGGAGTCAAAAGTATCTGGCGGTGTTCATAACACCTCCCCTTCACGTCTGTTGAACAAATGCAGATGCCACTGACGTTTTTATTGTTTTATGATTGCGTTTAGGCTTTGTTGATATCCTGTTTATTTTGTTTTGATTCATTTTCTCCCTCTCCTCCGGGAGGAGGCAGCCGATAAACAGACAGACATCCATCCGTGTGTTTTGTGAGTCTTCAAAGCAGCTCCTCCGTACAGGGAATTACCCTGTATATATGTTCCATAATGACAGCGACAGTGGGAGACATTGAAATTGTGGATGGAATGTGTAGCCGGCTGGTTAGGATGTTGATTTTTTTTTTCTGTTTTAAATAAATCAACATTGTAGACAATGTGCTCCCTGGCCCTTGAGGACTTTGTCTGTTTCATGCATTGATTAAAATATCTATTGTCTTCACCATCCAAGCAAAATCAGACTCACAGCTGTAATTAGTGCCTCTTGTGTCTGTCTCGGCAGAGGCTGAAGGAGCTGAAACAGAGAGAGTTTGCACGCAACGTCTCGTCTAAGAGCTGGAAGGATGAGAGGAAGCAGGAGAGAGCAATCAAACGACTCCATCAACTCGCCCTGCTCAAGCAGCAGAGGGACAGGTGAGGCACACCACATTCATTATGTACTCTGGTCTTCAAAGCACTTCAAAAGCAAGGCTTCCCACAACACGTTACACAACTGGATATACGCTCTTCACCTTACATGATAGCATTTTAATAGCAGTACTTTTCTATAAGGTCACAGACAGGTGACTTACCTCTTGCATATATGCATACCTGTATAGCAAATTCTCAAAGTAACTGCTTTATAAAATGTTATGTTTCGACAGCGAAAGGGGAAAGAGTTCAAAGTTAAGAGCCCCAGCCAGAGACTCTCGTCAAGAGAAAATCAGACTGAATGGCAGTGACAAACCCAGCTCCAGGCAAATTTCATCTCATCAAGGCCAAACTGAGACACCATCCTCTCCAGACCTAACCTCCAGGGGTTCTTCCTCCGTTCCTGTGTCCACCAATCAGTGCTCTCTCCAGGTTCAGCGTTCCTCACCAGTCCCTCAGGTCCCAAAAGAACACCGGCGCCCTAAGGCTGGGGTCTCATTCTGTTTCTCCAGGCGAGCTCAGTTGAAGCTGGACTCCTGTGCATCAGTGTTCAATGATGGGCTGGATGAGGCTAGTGAACTGAAGGAGCTCCAGCGACAGCGGCAGAGACTGGCCCTACAAGCCCTTTGGTCCCGATCTCCCTCACCCACACTGGAACCAGAAGCCCTAGACAACAATCCTTTACATAGGGGGCACCAGCCAGATCAGGATGACAGCCTAGAGATCAGAGTGAACTACTGTACAACAGAGCCAGAGAGGCAAGGCTGTCCTGACACACATCATTCAGAAGCTGAGAAGCAGCCAGCTGGTCCAGAAGACAGAGCAGATGATCAGGGCCAGGGACAGAGACAAGAGGAGGCTAAAGAGGAATGGGTATTGCTGGAGAGAAGCAGCCCAAGGAGCCCCAGCCCTACTGCTCACACACAGAGGGACATGACTTCTGACCATCTCCACGTATACAAGGTCTCACATCAAGACTTACAAAAAGGCATAAAACAGGACACAGTGAATGTCAAAAACTGTCTGTCAGACACAAAGATAGCTGAGGATGGCTTGAGGAGTAAAAATCTTCCTTTCGTAAACGTTCTCGGTAAAGATGGGACTACACTAAAATGGCCTTGTGAGCTCGTGCAGTACACCTCAGACGAACCCCGTGTATCATACAGCTGCAACCCACACTGCTTGAATTTCAAATGCGCAGAAGGCAAAGAGAAAAGCACAGAGGCAGGGGAGACAGATGTCTGCGCTGTCTCCGGCCTCCCAGCCCAGCCCGACCAAGCAGAGGAGCAGGCCTGGGATGTTCTGGAAGATAAATTAGGCATTTTAAAACCAAAGAGACCCAAAAACAGGCGGTGGATGAGAGCTCGTAGGCGTAAATTAGATGCTGTCAGGAGGCACCGGGTGGGCTGTGCGTTCCGCTCCCAGACGCTTGCCAGAGGACACTTTGAATTCAAAGGCACCTCGGCAGACGCGGCATGCAGCGAGCGAGGATGTGGCAAGAAGGGGCGCAAGCTTGGGAAGAGGAGGAGATCAGTGAGGGATGAAGTTTCGAATGAAAGTGACACTCCAGAACTAAGCTTGAAAAGCATCGTCATCAACTCCCTTTCCGCCCCAGCAAGGCAAAGACGAAAGCGGCGGAGGTTGCCGTCTGCTCTTCGCTCTGTGAGACGCAGGACTGTTCCACCCACTACTGTTCAGTGCACAGTGGGGGATGAGGATAATTACCAGTGGTGTCGTAACATCTGCGAGGCTAAACGGGACGCTAGCATGACCCCCTACAGTGAGAAGTCCAGCTCGTGGGGCATCCTGTCAGACTTGAGCTCTGATGGAGAATGGCCTGCTTGCCAGTGGGGGAGATGCTCTGCTTCTCCTGGGTCAGCTTCCTCTTATTCCTGGAGGAGAGGACATAGCCAACCCTGGTCTTACATCAGAAAATCCAGTTACAGTTTCCCTTGCTACGGTTACAGGCAAAATTCAGACAGCCCAGGTAGAGATACCGAATACAGAGAGGACTACTGGGATTACAGAGACTCAGAAATCTGCAGGGAGAGGAATTACTTGGGGGTTTGTGACAGACCCTGTATTACTGAGCGGAGATACGGTATCAGAAAGCATAAGAGAGCTCTAGAGGAGAACAGACATAGATTTAGAAATAACCGAAAGCCAGCCACAAAGAGAATATGCTTCTACAGAGTCTATGACAGTCCAGAACACCAGGATACAGAAAGAGATTGGTGGTGTGAGAGGCCCAGCCCTGACAATAAGAGGCGTCGAGAGAGAGACAAGTTCTGGTTAAGCCCAGAGATCAGTCACAGCAGGCGGTATGAGCGGTCCAGCCCTGGGTCCAGACATAGCCCAGCTTCCTCTAGTACCACTAGCATTTCAGAGCTCAGTGGAGATTGCAGCTCTCACATTAAGCCATCCTATTCTGAAAATAGCCAAGATCATCACAGCAATTTAACATGGCCAACAGATAGATCTACCAGGACCAAAACTTCCCATTCTCCACCAAGAGAGAAGAGTTACTCACCATCACCCATATCCATTGCAAGACCAGAGACAGGGCAAACAGATACTCGACCAGTTATTTCCGGTTCCAATCCAAGTGCAAAGCCAGAACCTGTTACTCCCAACTCCACCGATTTTACAAAGCAGAGCGCATCACCTGATAAAAAACTCACAAGCAACAAAACACGTACTCTTTCACTCCCATTGATTGGTAAACTCCCCTCTATAAAAAGAGGAATAAAACAAACAGGAATTCTCAAAGAGAAAAGTAGCAGTCGCAATAACCAAGTCCAGATATCCGTGAACGGTCTATTAAAACCTGAAAGCCAAGTATTATCTGTAAATGGACATAGCACAGCTAGCACCACACGGACAGAAAGGCATAATTCATTAAACTTATTCCAAACTTGTCCACTTATCACTGATGAGAGAACAGCAGAACCTTGTGCAACCTCAGAAAACACACACAACTCCTTGTCTCACGAACACCTTATGAATACCATGGAGGAAACATCAGAGACTTCAGAAAATCAGCTACCAAGGTGCCCAACTCCTCCCTTAACAGAACAGCCAATAATATTTACAGAGGAGGAGATTGACAAATATAGGCTTCTCCAACTTCAGGCCCAGCAGCACATGCAGCAGCAGCATCTCCAAGAGCAGCAGGATATGCCAAGACAACAAACCCCTGTGGATGTGCCTCCAATGAACCTTATACCTATACCTGCTCCAGAACCTTCAAATCAGTCTATACCTGCTCCTTGTCTCCCATATGCCATACTCCAGCATGGAGCACTCTCAGCCTTTTCCTCTGCCATCTCCTCTCCTTCATCCTCTTTTGCATCCCACCATTCCCCCACTGCACACTCTACTCTCCATCCCCCTCTGTCACAGCCACACTTCACTCCTTTTCCATTCCCCGGTGCATTCTTTCCAGGTCCTCCTGCAGCACTGCTGGCGGGCCGTCCCCTCCGCCTGATCCCAGCGGCGTCCCTCCACCAGCACCCTCATCCTCCTGGCCTGGCCCTTCACCCCCTGCCCCACACCCACTTGATCCCCACTGTACTTGCTCCGACCCCTGCGGCTGCTGCTGCTATGGCAGCTGCTAGTACGCTGCAAATCCACCCCCTACTACACCCTCTGTTCCACAGCCAGGACCTTCAGAACCACCCTGGTCCTGCCAGCTAGTCTTGGTGATGATAAGAGGAAGGAAGAAGACAAATGGATGTAGAGTGAAATATTCCTGAAAATAAGAGAGATATTCTTACACTGGTACTCATGGCCCTCTCTAACCATGGTATGACAGTCTTGCCATCATTCTCAGACTCAGCCAAAGGTTTTGGTGTTTTTTTTTTTGTTTGTTTTGTTCGTCTGTTTGTTTGTCTGCTGTATCTGTGAACGGCAGTGCAGGTGTACGTACTGGCCTGCCTTGACACCCCATTCTTCGCGTCAGAAGCTTGATTCATTTGAGCAGATGGGTAAATGTTTTTTACCCTGCTTAATCTGAGCTGTAACCTATGGTTAGATGGCAATTTGATTGAAGTCCCTTCAATTAGTACACAGCACACAGCATTTGCATATCATAAGGGATATGCTAATCGGAGGGTTATTTTCATCCAGGTCTGAGAGCCAGAGGAGACATCAGACAGCCAAAACAAATTCATGGAGTTGACTGTAGATTTGTTTCAGGAAATATAGTTCTGCATCAAAACGATCAGCTTTTCATGTATGAAAATGGAAACGAAGGGTAGATACTAAAGCGCAGCATGCAAACGATTTGTCGTGTCTTGCGAATCAAACATATTGTTTCTCTCTCTGTCGTTCAGTCCAGTGAAGTGAGGTGCAATGCTGACTCGATAGGCTGCAGTACGGAGTTGCAATAATGTTTTCAATCTATTTAAAGGTCTAAAACCTTCAACTGTATTTATGTACTGTACCTTTTTAATGTAAATACAATGATTTAACAAAAGGAGGTGCATACAACCTGAACTCGGCTGAATTATGTTCCAGAGACTTTGTATTTACTCTTATTTTATTAGAGCCAAACGTTTTGTCATCTGTAAGATAAGGTCATGAGATGAATAATAAACTGAATGTCATTTAAAGAAAACTTTGCGTCTGGTCTGTATGGCTGTCCTGCTAATTTCATTTTGTCACTGACTGTGAAGGGAAGAAAGTAAAGAGAAAGTGGAGAAAGTGAAATGCAATTGCCGTTTGCTTGGAGGGAGATTTTGGATGAGTTGGCATTTTAATCCCTCACCACGTCTGAAAAACAGACCTCAAGTATATTCCGGGCACAGCACATCACTCAAAGACAGCATTTCAAATGAGCATAGCTTTTTTGCTGTGATCTAAAGGAATGGGGGTTTGGGCTAATGATGAGATTCATTGCCAGCAGTGCCCAAATAACACAACTGTGCATTTGTGTTAATTAACTCTCACCGGTACCAGTCTGCTATTCTAGCATGCACAGTCCACTGACTTTCTTTGGCGCTAAAAGGACGGATGATTCATAACACGGAAAGCAGCATTCCCCACACTGCTAATTCCAAGCGTGTCAGCCCTGCTATTTCCTGGAATCTAATAAAAGTGCTGATTGTCCAAGTCCTTTAAAGCACTTAAAATTAAATGTATATCATCAACATACAGGATGCAAATGGGAGGGAATTATACATATCCATACAGTACTGTGCCAAAGTCAGAGACCACCGTTTCATTTCTTTAATTTCCAGTCAAAACAGCCATTAATTTTCTGGTTGTCAGGAAAAAAGCAGAAAACATACATTTAGTATGTCCACGCTTTCCCTTTGTTACAGCTTCCATTGTGTCCCGGAGATCTGTTTTCAAATTGAAAAGAAATGTGCAGGGATATTTTTCACACCTCCAAAGTTCAGTCTTAGAAATCGGTTGCATTTTCTGCTTCTCACTATCCACATAATCCCAATTACAAATTAGAATAGGATGATGGATCAAAACACCAGTATATTTTTTTTTCAGATCTGAAGCAAGAGTGGAGCTTGATTCTCTAAAAATGAAACCTTCAAGTACTGTAAATCTGATGGTGACCATTCTGCTGGACTACTAGTTCTTATACGATTGTTAGGAGTCCCAATTTCTCTGGATCTTTTATAATTTATTCAACTCCAGAATTGGAAACTCCTGTGTTTTTCAATTTTCCCCTCTTTATGCCCATGCTGTATCTTATATCTTACATCTTTGATCTTCTATTCATCTTTATCTTACATCTTTAGGCATTTTAGATGCACATGAGAAGGAAATTACAAGGCAGCTTGGTGTGTTGGGTAGTTGCTTGTGTGGATGCATCTCGTTGACTTCTTTGGGAGCAACCTTTGCTGGGAGGACACAGCGGAAACTGTGCTATTTTAAAACTGAAAGGATGGAAGAGTTAAAGTGACACTAGCATGCACAAAAGTGAAGAGTGGACAAATTAAATACTGATAGATTTGATATTATACTAGTGTTGGAGGCTTTTGTGGAATTTACTGTTATATTCATGGCTTGATTTTTTTCCTGATGCTTAAAATCGACTAACTTGTACTTACTGGACGTTTTGACTGAAAATTAAATAAACTAAAGGGTGGTCTCTGAATTTTACGCATTACTGTATATCATCACTGTCATAATAAAGCATAATATCTCCAAAATGGTAACTTGTATGAGAAAGGGCCCGTGGAAAATGAAAATTTAATGGCAGAACAAAATTTTCCGATTTTTTTTTTTTTAATAAAAGAGAATGAATAAAAATGCTGTACACTCCTCAGTCCATATAGTCCATATATGGAAACTATGCTGCAAAAACAGCATACTGAATTTGTTGTTTCTGTGATGTCATGAAAATGATCTCATTTACAAATATTCACCCATTCATGCTCAAGATATTCAGCCTGGAGTGATTTTTGAACAAGAGAGAATGCATATTTGGTTGTTGGACTATTCTCAGTCCAGCAGTGAGCAGCACTGCTGTGTCTGATCCACTCAGACCAGTGCAACACACACTAACACTCCACTACCACGTCAGTTTCACTACAGTGCCGGGAATGATCCACCACCCAAATAGTACCTGCTCTGTGGTGGTCCTGTAGGGGTCCTAACCATTGAAGAACAGGGTAAAACGGGGCTAACAAAGTATGATGGACCACAGTCTGAAACAGTAGGAATATAAAGTGTACCTATGTGGTAAGCAGAGCTCATAAAATGGACAATGAGTGTAGAAACAAGGAGAGATACCGAAAGAAGTGGCCAGTTGGTGTATATAAGGAAGGGTAGTTGACAATAGACTAGAGATGAAAGACAGAAATGACCAAAGGAAGAGAGAATAAGACAAAGTAGGAATGAGTGGCCCCAGCTGGTTACCTCCACCAACCAGGCAGTGCCACAGCATTTGAGGTAAAAGGACTCCTTCCTGGCACCTTTGAGATTTGAAAGATGTATTTTTCGGTGATCTGTGAAAATCCTCAGAGAGTCTGGAAAGCTGGGCAGCCTTCAGGGTGAGGAGGAGACCGGGGAGGGTATGTTTGGAGGGGTCAACTCGCCCTCGGCCTAATTACACCTCCCACACCCTGGCGCTCTGCTGGAGAGTGGACCGGCGGCGCACTCCTGCTCCGCAGGACAGCACATCAAACAGACTGCAAGAAACGGAGAATGCCGATAATTAGCAGATGTTTCAGAATAAACTCACTCTTGAGCCTCCTGCTCTCCTCCTCCCTCTCACTCAATGTTTAATATTGAGCTTTCAGACTCAAAAAGGGAGGGAGGCAGGAAGGGAGGGAGAGAGATGGGAGACAAAAAGCGGCAGAACATGAAAGAGATTAATTTGGGCTCTTCTCTGGGTCATTTAGAGTTATAGTGTGCTGAAATGTCCCAAGTGCAGCCAATGAACTTAGCAGGAATTTAATGGAGCCAAGGATTCTGAGTCTGAAACAGTGTCACACTGGCATTTGTAGAAATACCATACTGGCACTTCTTTAGGCTTTTAGGTGCATTTGATGTCAACTGCACCATGTGTTTAGGTCTGGCTGCTTTCCAACCCAATTTCTCTTTGAAAGTGTGTCGACAGCCTTACTGAATGCTTACGTTCAGTAAGTCTATAAGCCCAAGCCAAATAGGGCATGAATATTTCAAGGAAGGCAGAGATAAAGGAGAGAGCCCAGATTTTTTCTTATTAGTTAGCTAACACTGACTGACTTTTGTTGTTGTAGAGTGTTTTTCAGGCCCCTCCACCACCCCTCAGGCCAAAACACCTGACGGTTAACTGCGGTCATTATGGTAACTGCAATTAATTAAAATTTGGCACTACATTATGTAAATTCATTCTTTCATAAGTACTTCCAATACAAAAGATTTTGCTTCAAATGTTCTCCATTCTTCTCTTGGCTTCAAACACAAGACTTATTAACCCCTTACCAAGCCATGGACCCACTGGCAGGCCCAAAGTTTTATTACACACTTCTATAACCTATGAAAAGCTCCATTAGTTTGCACTGAAGGAATATTAACTAAACAGGGATGTGCACAGGAACTTGAGTACTCAGTTGACCATTTGAGATGCCCAGTATTCGAATACCAATATCCAGGGGTGGTTTGAACCTTTGGGCAACTGGACAACGCACCACCAAAGGGTGAAAGAGAGGAAATTTCTTCTATCACATTCTACCACAGTGCTACACTAGCTGTGACTGTTCTAGATAGTTTGCCCTGCCTCTGAAGGTCATAGTTTAATCAGTGTGGAGTTCCTTACAGTACCCCCCCTTTTGAGTGATTTCAGTCTAGTTGAAAATCGTCCAGATTGGGGCTCCCAAGTGGGGCAAACGTCTAAGCGTTGGCCCTGTCATCAGGAGATCGTGAGCTCAATCCCTGGTGATGCTACAGCCATTCGTGGCCGGGAGTTCAAGAGAGCACAATTGGCCTCACTCTCTCTGGGTGGGCAGGATGCCCTGCCTCCATCACTCAACGTGATGCTAGTCAGCACAGGCGTCTGTTAGCTGACTTAACAGAACTGGTGATTAGTGTTCTCCTCCAAGCGCGTTCGGCTGTCCAATAACGTTGTGTGAGAGGCAGTTCAAAAAGATGCGGCGGCACTTCACAGGTCTCGGAGGAAGCCTGTGCTGGCATTGGTGGTATCGTGTGATTGGGGGAGTCCCAACTAGTGGGTGGAATTGGAGATGACTAAATTGGGGAGAAAATCAGGAAAAATCCCCCCCCCCAAAAAAAAAGAAAACTGTCCAGATTGCTCGGAC